TCGCAGATGCAGGTAGGCAACGTTTCGCATATATCGCTCTAGCCATAAAATACCGAAACCATAACCCTACTGCATCTCTATTTCTATATGTGGGAGGTAGAAATTGTTTACTTCTTGTCGTCAAACGTTCCAAGCACATACATACAAGAGGACCACAATCCCCTCTGGCTCTCTCCGTTTGATGTGGCGCTATCTCGTCTTTGATCATTGTCACTTTAAACTTTTTTGGCTTCTTGTTTCCAGAATTAGTCCAATAATCAATCGCATCCAAATATTTAGCCAAATGAGCGTTTCATCCCTTACAAATAATATATCTCAAATCAGACAATGGTATGTAATTCAACATGCTGTCATATACTATCATCTTCGGGGATGGGAGCTGAAGCTCGACGAGAAGCCAATGACGACGTTCCAAAACAGGGATATACACATGCAATCATAAATAATAATTCATTGCGCACATCAAATAAAATTTATGAACACCTTTAAAATATTCAAAAATAAATACTAACCTTATCGACCTCCCACCACGCAGGATAAAGTTTAGCTTTTCCATTTCCCAACACATATGAAGCGTCTCTCTAATCCTTCAAGTGAGCTACGTGAAAAGACGAATACATAATAGTCCATTGCGTATTTTTTATTTTCTTCAATTTCCTTATTATCAGAAGACATGACACACATGCATCAATATATTGTTTTATAAGAAAATACATATATTAGTGAATTTAATAAATTTTAAAAACAATTATTCAAAATGCAATATAAGAAGAATATAAGACTTATTCCCCATTCGAAATAGCCATTCTCTTCAACCCCTTATAAAACACACCACCAAGACCGATCAAGAAACAAATGCATATCATCGTCGATTTTGCATATGTCAGCGTAACACCCCTGGCTCCGCTCATGTAGATAAAAATCAATTGCGGTCTTAGCCCAAAGGGTATTATCCTTAATTGTGTCCGGTAGTTTTCTCCTCTCCACTTCAGATACCGGAATGGTACTGACTGATAACTGATACGAAAGCCAGCTCTCATCCATCATATCGGGCACGCAAGGGGGTTTATCAATATGTCGACATAATATGCTATGTGAATCGGGCTCTTGAACGGTAGGAGGGGTCTCTTGAACGATGATAGTGGCCTCTTGAACAGTGGGAGGGCCTCTTGAACGATGACAGGAGAATCGGGCTTCTTCTTATGGAGTCTTGGAACTAATGGGATTAAAGGAGACGTAATGGCACGTGCACGACGTCTGATGCGTGAACCCCGTCGTGCAAGAAAAACCCAACGTAAAACATTTACATTATCGGGCCGCTAAAAATAAATTAATACATAAATTAGTAAATAAACAAATAAATAATGCCGAAAAAAGGTTATTTGCATTTTTTTAGTATAGTATTAAACAAACTTACCTCATTGCGTAGAGTATGAACCTCATTCTGTAACGATACAACAATCTCACGTAAAGCGATTACCTTATCACGTAAAGTAGATACCTCACCAAGTAAAGCAGATACCTCACCACGTAAAGCACCATTGTCATCGCGTAAAACCTCTACCTCACCACATAAAGACTGTACCTCATCACGCCATGCACCATTGTCGTCACGTAAAGTACCGACCTCCTCACGCAAAGCACTGACCTCATCACATAACTCCCCTAACTCATCCCGTGGAGGTAGAGAACAGGGAGATAAATGTCGTGGCATCTTTGCCGGTCGCCTATCATGAGGTGATGGTGGAGAAGAGGCTCGATGATGTGATGGAATAGGTGATGGCTCTCGTTGTGGAGGTGTATAATCGGCTCGATCAGGTGATGACTCTAGGTGTCGAGCGGTAGAATCGGCTCGGTCAGGTGATAACTCTCAAAGTGAGGGGTGCTCATCATCCGTGTCATAAAAAAAAAGCTAACTAGCTTACCACCAATCAGTGGAAAGCTCAGCCTCTGTGGGTGTCAGCCTCTGTAATGGATAGTTGGCCTCCTAAAAATATAAAAGCTCAAACAAAGTTAAACGTCTACTAGTAATAACTTGTTTATATATGGTAATATTTGTGTTAACTTACATCATTAATCGTCGTATATGGTAGTAACTCTTCTCAATCCAACAACCGAATCCTCCTCCAGGAAATAGCCCTAGGAATATCATTTGAATTTTTGATCGTAATATGTATGCATGCTGGGAAAAGCCTCAAATACCCAAATATACAAACAATATAATACACAAACATTAGTAATTGTTAAATAATTAATTATAATTTTGGAAACATTATATAGAAATTCTTACCTTAAAGGCCCAAATAAAGTCTGCCAAAGTGTATTTGGAACCATGGCCATGCAAACTTTTTCAGTCCTCAAAGGCAGACGAACTCTTTTCCAGGTAGCTTTCCATAGATATGAACCCCACGAAAACACGTTCCATGCATTTAGGTCTTCTACCAATAATATTAGGTCCTCAGAAATATGTTGTCAGGCCTCTTTGCCTAAAAAACCGGTATGCAAAAGTAATAAAAGGCATACTCGGACAACATCGAGGTCATCCATCCGAGTAAAACCATCTTTAACAAGTAATCTTTTCAAGTTGTCGACGTGTAAACTGGGCTTCGCCTTTGCCAGCTCAGGAAACACCCGAGATAACCATGATGGGCGGGCGATATGACTAGTATACCGACCTACTTCATAGTGTCCGAAGCATAGACCAGTGATTAAGGAAAACTCCTCCCACCCAAAATAAGTATATGCCAGTGGAAGAAGAAACCATATCTCTTCATCACCACATTGTATCCTCTCGGGTAGATCGTTAGTCATGGTCTGAAGAAACAAATGGGTCAACATAGCATCTCCACCTGGATATTGTACTTTTAGCTATGGCCCGAAGCAAGTATCCTCAAACAATTTTCTTTGTACATGTGTAAGTGTCGACGCAATTGTAATGGCTAGGCTTAATTTATTCCTTAGAGTCAATGAAGCCGAAAAAAAAAATTTAACAAAAAAAAATAAACATACCAAGTTAGATATACCAAAAGCTACAAATTATACACTATAAACAGAAATGATATTAAACAGTGAAAACAAAGCCAAATATGTTTCAAACTAGCACGGTATTCACCCAAGTCATTATTCTATCATAGTTCACAAAATGCATCAGATAACATTCTAGAAGTAAGCACTTATATAAACATTTAAAATGACAACATATAGGTTTAGTGCAAGTTCAAGGATAACATAAAGAGTAATAGTTTATTCTTGAAACTTAAATTCGCAACACTGTGAAGTTAGTATTTATCTTTGTTTTTTTGTTGAAGTAATGCAATTCATTTAAGTTTCAATTTGCAGAAGAAGAGTAGTTTCTAAAACTTAAAATCGCAACGCGAAAATGAAAATCGCAACTCGAAACTAAAATCGCGTTGCGATTTTCATTTTCGTGTTGTGAATTTAAGTTTTAAAAACTATTCTTCTGTAAATTAAAACTTGAATGAATTGCATTACTTCAACCAAAAGACAAAACAAAGATAAATACTAACTTCACAGGGTTAAAGACTAAACAGTTTAGCAGTATTGGCAGCAACCGAATGAATTTACTAAGCAATCTAAGTGAAAGAATTAATCTATTATTGAAATTATCAGTAAATTTATCATCAATTTAAATATGAAAAATCTAATAATAATACAAAAATTTTAAAATAAAAATAATTAAAAAAATTAACCCTCGGTGTTTGATTTTTCATTTGTGGCTGTGAATGGTTGTGAGGGTGGCTCTGAGATATGAAGATAGAGGGGGGTCGCCAGATATGTGGACGGATTTCGCCGGAGATAGGGACGGAAGTCACCGTAAAGAGTGAGAGATGGAGATGAGACTGAGTTGTGATTTAGGGTTTTAGGTTATGATTTGTGATTATATTGTTTACATTTGTGTTGCGAAATTAATATTGTGTTTCGAATTCGAAAGTAAAATTCACGTTGCGAAAATAAACACGCTTTGCGAATTTGACTTCTGTGTTGCGAATTTGGAAACTGAGTTGCGAAATTGGAATTCGTGTTACGAATTTATTGGTCATTTTCGTAAATAAAAAAAAAGTTAGTTAAAATCGTATATTATAAGATATTTTCGGTCACAGAAGTTATTTTTTCTAATAATCTTTTATTCTTTTAACTAAACACGATAATCTTACATTTCTGTTAAACCAACCAAATATAAAATACAACATTTCCCGTAATCCTATTCTCTGATAATCTTTTATTCCCACTTATAATCTTACATTTCCTTAACTAAATGTACCCTTAGCTATTAAAAAATGAGAAGGCTGATGAGAGTTTACTTGACTTCCAGTGTGTTGTCATTTGTCTACGGGTGCTCTGAATTTGCTGATTTGATGTATCCGACACGTGGCTTTGCATGTTGAGATTAAGCAAAAACTGAAAAAGGCAAAAACCAAATGAAAGGAAGCCGTTGGTTTCTTTCGAGACTTTTAGAAAGTGTAGGGCAATACGCCAACACGAATCATGATGTCACCCAAAAACCATTTGCTTCTATTTGTTTTTTTTCTTTTTCTAAAAAAAAAATACGAAAACATTATTAACCATGGTTTAAGATTGTATATGGATAGAATAAACAAACATGAACGTATATATATATATATATTTGACTCATTTATATTTATGAATAAATTTATTTATTAATCATTTACAACCTCATTTATTTATCAATAATATTTTCTTATAAAAATATTAAAATAATATCTCTCTATTTATATATTTAAATTTCAACTCATTAATCTAAATATACTCATATACATATTTATACCATTGTGAGTGTATGTATCTCTCATTATAAACAGATATATTTACAAATATATAAATAAATATATTTACGAATATTAAATAAATTGAGTTTAAATATATCAAATAATAAACAAACAAATACGAATAAACAACTATATTTATTTGAGTCTTACACAAAAAAAACTAAAATATTAGATCATATCCGACTTACCTTGCTCACCAGTCACCAGTATACTGGTAAAACTCTGGTTCATGAGCTTGGTAAAGTTGACCCATGATGTTGGCTTGTGACTTCCTACCTGCCTTTCTTTGTTTCCCGCATTGAGATATTACAAAAAATGAGGAGAGAAGAAAAAAAAAAGATAGTGATTTGCAGTATCATAAAAACCAAGAATATGAGATCATCTCTTCCGCCGCCACCAATCTGGAATTTTCAACCTTCTATTCCTATGTATAGCAAGTTCGACCCCGGGAAGCTTGTGCTTTACCTGTCTCCATAACATATACACCGCATCTTCCTTCTTTGGAGGGTACTGGAATTCGTAATGATGGGAAATCTGCTTAAGCCGTTTCCACATTTCAACCCATCTGTCCTTTGGAAATTGGCGCAGTTTATTGACCAAATAACCCGGCTTTAATGCTTCTTCCATGGAGAAGAAAATTGAGAATTCGGTGTAATCGATTTCGTCCTCGAAGGGAAGCTCGATTTTGTCGCTGACAACCACCGGAACACAATGGCTCACAATCGCATCGAATAGTCGGCAAGATGATGGAGTGTCCCCAGCAGGATGCAGACAGAATTTCGACAAGCGCATTCCCTTTGTTGACTAACACACAAGGCGGAAGAAATAAGATGTATAGTATAGCGTAGTTATTGCATTAACATTTGTTAGAAAAATACAATCTGAATTACTTTTCCTACAACTCGAAGAGGAGATTACTTTGTTTTATATTTTGAATGTAATAGAAATGATTAAATAAACTGTCTAAAGCATGGATGGATCGAAGGGTGCAGTCGTACTCCTTGGAAATTTTTAAATTTTCATATAGTTTACATATTTGGGTTACGACGATAGAGGTGAACCAAAAAATTGCAGCCGTGGTTTTAAAGAGAGTTGTACGCTTAGGACGGTGAGTAGTCTCTGACTCAGAGAGAATCTCTTCTCAGTCTTGCATGAAGGGTTTATATAGTAACTCTTAATACAGGTGTTAAGCCTAGGGTCATGATGACTATTCGTATATTAGTAGAACGTATGGATATGACCGACTGTGTATTTATTTCTGGCAGATTATATAGGCCTACAAAAAATCATGTCAAAAGATTGTGGGAAACTTGAAAGATAAAAGTACGAATAGTCAAGCATGGTAACTAAAAGTAAGAACTAATGTTGATCGGAACGTCTAGAAACTAGATATGCAGCAGCTTACCATTTTAATGTTAGATGGGGTTGCTGCACTCTTTTCGTAGTGAACATCAGCAATGCCATTCAATATCTTAGCGAGTTTGACTCGAATTTTGCCTTCCTGCAACAGAAACAGTCTCGATGAGTAACATCATTCAGAACAGAAATTTTACAAATAGAATATTTGCGTCTTAAAAACATACATCTTTCCTGACAGTGTTTCCCCTGAAGAAAATAAGGGTAGTTCGATTCTCATATGGGTCTAGAGGGTCATCATCTGTAAAGGATTCCACCACGTGTACATAGGGGGAAACTACATCTTTGCTTAGAGTTGACATGTTTCTGGGGTAGCGACCAAAATCTACAATAATAAGAATAGATGCATTCAACTGCTGTCGATGAAACCTGAAAGCATTTGGATGTGTCATGGGAATTACATGGTCTCTGCCTCCAGACCTTTGATAGTACTTGGATTGTCGCAAGAATTCCACTAACTCGCCCTAAAACAAGAGAAATATACATTACATTGTATTAATAGATATTAACTGCACAAAACTCAAATGTCGGTTAATGCACAGATTGGTAATTTAGCATAAAAGAAATCCAACGAGTGAAGCGTGATAGTAACTCCTACAACCGTGCAAGTTCATAACTAGGGAAGGTCATGCGTCGGGTTTTTTGCCCACCTGAACCTGACCCGAAAAGTAAACCTTTTCTCTATGCACCTGACTCGACCTAGTTTTTAGATAAAAACCCGCACTCGACTCGACCCGACCTAACCTTACACACACATATATATATATATATAATTCATTTTATTAGGTAAAATAAAGGCCTGATCCCAACTTGATCCATCCTTCCAAAATCTTTTTTGACTCAATTGAGTCTGGTCAAAATCTGTCAGGCTCGGTCATAACTTTTCACTGCTTTCTTTCAAATAGAAAAAGACGTCATATTTATGTTACTTTAGAACAAAGATGCAAAGAACTTGTAACAAATCCTTCTGTGTTTAGTAATCACTATCATCAATGATAATGAATCTATATTTGCAAGTATAAGGTGCATCATGATCAAAAGATTAACTCAAGTATAAGCTGCATAGTTTATACATTGTCTGAAAGCTATATTTTATTAATAAATTCTAAAATATCCAACATGTTGTCCTTCCACGATGCTGTGCTAGTTCCTAATGACCAAACCATTGGCTAATACTTCAACAAGTCAAAAACACCAGCAAAGCGCCATTCATTTACTTTCATAAAATCAATTTGCAATCTCATCCTTTTTTCCATTTTAGTGAATTGACTTATGAGTTAAACAAGTTACCAGGAGAACGTATTATTTTGCTAACTTGGTTCAAACTTTTCCACTGGGTTCTTGTGTTTTGGAGCAACCACTGGAAGTGATTTTCGAATTTCTCAAACAGAATGGAGCAGGATCAGCTAAATTGCTATGTCAGCTCCGACTCCTTAATCTACTTTCATTCCTTTACTCAAAACTTATTAAATCATTAATCGCGTGCCTATTTAAAACAAAAGGTTTCCAAGTTAATTTCCAGTGAAAGAAACAAGGCAAGAGCAAAACAGCGCATTAAACCGCAGTTGATATAAATTAAACAGCTTAAAGCGATCAATTAACTTTCCAATAACCTGTAATTGGCGGTCGACCTCCGTCTCAGGATCCGTCATGTTATGTCCGTGCGTATTAACACTCAACGAAGAAAAAAAGGGCACGAAAAAGGCGTCCGCGGTTTCAGGATCCGAAACCCTAACCGCCTCCCTCTCTTCTCCTTCGCCGTTGTAAAGCAGCGACGCCATCAGCCAATATTCCACGCTGTGTTGCCTCCTTACCCCTCCATTGGCGGGCCACAACGGCAAGTTCTCCATGATCACCGGACCCGCTTCCTCGGCGTACCGGCGACCCATCATGGCGACGTTGAATTTCCGAGGGAGGTCGTACATGTAAACCCGGAGAGGACGACCGGTAGCACAGATTGAGCGCTGCGCCGACTGTAAAGAAAAGAAGTATGACCTGATATCAACGTTGCCGATATAGATTGAACATGAAACCAAGAAGATGATCGCCAATGCTAAACAAATTGCCGCTTTACCGTACATTTTTCTTTTTGTGCTTTCTGTTTCTAGCTGCCTTTTGATGCCTTCTTAATTGATGATTTCGATTCTGTTATTTTAACACGGGTTAATTGCATGAGACATCTTTACATTTTGAGTTAAATTTCAAATTAATCATTAAATTTTCAAAATAGTTAAATTGAATCTTAAAATGTGTATAATATTTTAATCAGATTTCCCATTAATAAGATGAGTTAAAATTGAAATAAAAAATAATATTTTCTCAAAATATATTTATTTGTTCTTTCCGTCCAAATTAAATCACGTGAATAGACTAGAAATAATCAAGTTTATATACTGAAACATAAATAATAAATAACATTTGAGTTAATTGCAGCATGCATCCCCAAACTATGTCTCTTATTATAAACTGGTCCATAAACTTTTGAAAATTTTAATTTCATTCCTAAACTATGACTCCCACTCTAAATTGGTACCTAAACTTTTGAACAGTCCAAATGCATCCTCAAACTAAGACCCTTATTCTAAATTAGTCCCCAAACTTTTGAACATTTCAATAATATCCCCCTAAATCATTCAAAATTTTGAAGTTGATATTAGAATATTTAAAAGTTTGGGGATCAATATAAAATGAGGGTTATAGTTTGGGGATGGATTTCGTATGTTCAAAAACTTGTGGACTAATTTAAAATGAAAGCATTGTTTGAAGATGAAATTAGAAAGTTCAAAAGTTTAGGGTTTGATTTAAAATGAGGACAATAATTTAGGGACATACGTTGCAATTAACTCATAACATTTTCACCAAACATAACATAAGCCTGTTGGATGATAATTAATTAAAACAGGTATATTTTTTTTTGATAAATCTAAATAAATATAAGGTAATATTTGTCTAAAGATTCTCAACTCTTTAACAATAAACACTCATATACGTTGCAATTAACTCATAACATTTTCACCAAACATAACATAAGCCTGTTGGATGATAATTAATTAAAACAGGTATATTTTTTTTTGATAAATCTAAATAAATATAAGGTAATATTTGTCTAAAGATTCTCAACTCTTTAACAATAAACACTCATACTTCCCGATACGTAATACTCTAACTCAAGACCTCAAGAGACAATAAAAGATCTTTTTAAATACTAAGGTCGAACAAAATAGACCTTAATGTCTGATTGAATGATCACTTTAATTATAATTCTTGTTTAAACACTTTAACTCTGAATATTTTAATTTTTATTAAAATGACTATAGTTTTAAATAAAATTAATATTTAATTAACGATTAGTATTTATTGCATAATTAATAGTTGTTTTTAATATTATGATAATTTTTCACCTAACACACGATAATATTTAAAACCCATTTTTTTATTGTAAAAAAAAGAAATCAGTTGTTGGATGCGCATCTCTATAGTGATTGACCCATAAAATATGATTTTGGGTTGGACCATACATACAATATACCTTTCTCCTCATTTGCTTAACTTTTGATTTCTTAGCCTAAAATCCAACCCTAAAAAATAATCCAAAACCCTAATCCGTATCAGTATATTTGTCCAAATTGTGTTATATTCGTCGTTGCTTTATTCTTCTGCTCGGCGCACCCGCAGAAGCATAACACCTTAGGAAGCAGGAGCAGCAACGACTAACGAGATCAGCCGCCATGGTTCATTTCTCTTAAATTTGTTCTCCCAGTTTATATTTTGAAGTCTCTTCTTTGTTTTATGAGATTTTGTAACACTGAACTCCAATTTGTTTTGAACCCTTGTTTCTTGAGGTGAAGTATTCGAAGGAACCCGATAATCCCACCAAGTGTAAAGTCCCATTTTGTTCATTTTTTAGCTTTTCACTTTCCTTTTTTTATGATGATCAGATTTGTTGTATGGAAACTAATGGCGATTGGTTGACTTTTTGCAGCCTGCAAGGCAAGGTGCTCTGATCTCAGGGTTCATTTCAAGGCATTATCATCACTTCTTGATATAATTTGACTTAATTCTTGATTCAAAGTTCGGAGTTTTGTTGAATATCCCCGAAAATAATCATTTCACAGTAATAAATGATTGTTAAATTAGATTTAGATTAGCTGGTACAGTAGTTTTTTTTCAAAGCATTTATACTTGTATTAGCCATCATATTTGATGATTAAAGACTGTTGTGGAACTTCTCTGTTTATTTCATTGCTTGGGAGAGGATTGTTATGTGATTTTCAGAAACTTTTATGATGCATTGTTTACCGTTATAGATTTGTTTTTGGCTGAGTATTTGGATTCTTAAACCTGATGAAAAAAGCAGGTCTTTGTTGCCTTTTTGTGAACTCGGCTCTTGTAAACTTCAGGAAAATTACTTGTGCATTTTTCTTGGGTAAAGCTCTGGATTTTACTGGTGCCTGATGGTTCAGTAAATGATGCTACATTTTGCAATCCTCCTTTAGGAATTTAGTTGCTGGATTGATACATATGAGTTCAATTGTTTATTGAGGTGTTTTGATGATGTTTGGTCCTACTTTTGGTTGAGATTTTGTATTCTTAAACCTGATGTAATAAAGCAGGGCCTTGTTGCCTTTTGTGAACTAGCTTCTCGTAAACTTCAGGGAAATTACTTGTGCATTATTCTTGGGTGAACCTCTGGATTTTATCGGTCCCTGAAGGTTCAGTAAATGATGCTAAATTTTGTAATCTTCCTTAAGGAATTTAATTTCTGGATTGATACATTTGAGTTCAATTGTTCATTGAGGTGTTTCGATGTTCTTTACTCCGATTTTTGGCTGAGATTTTAATTCTTAAACCTGATGTAAAAAAGCAGGGCCTTGCTGCCTTTTGTGAACTAGGTTCTTGTAAACTTCAGGAAAATTACTTGTGCATTGTTCTTGGGTGAACCTTTGGATTTATTGGTGCCTGAAGGTTCAGTAAATAATGCTACTTTTTGTAATCCTCTTTAAGGAATTGAGTTTTGGGATTGTTGTATGAGTTCAGTTGTTTTTGAGGGGTTTTGATGGTGTTTGGTCCTGTTTTGGCTGTGATTTTGGATCCCCAAACCTGATGTACAAAAGCAAGGTCTTGTTACCTTTTCTGAACTAGGTTCTTGTAAACTTCACTAAAATTACTTGTGCATTGTCCTTCAGTGAACCTCTGGATTTATTGGTGCCTGAAGGTTCAGTAAATGATGCTACATTTTGTATTCCTCTACAAGGAATTGAGTTTTCGGAATGATATATATATATATATATATGAGTTCAATTGTTTCTTGAGGCGTTTTGATGTTGTTTGGTCCTATTTTTGTCTAAGATTTTGGATTCCTAAACCTGATGTAAAAAAGCAGGGTCTTGTTGCCTTTTGTAAACTAGATTCTTGTAAACTTCAGGAAAATTACCAGTGCATTGTGCTTGGGTGAATCTCTGGATTTTATTGGTGTCGGAAGGTTCAGTAAATGATGCTACATTTTGTAACCCTATGTAAGGAATTTAGTTTTTGGATTGATATGATATGATTTCAATTGTTTCTTGAGGCATTTTAATGTTGTTTGGTTCGATTTTATGTTATATTTCTCTCCTTCCCTTTTGTTATTTGTTGCCAATTTTGTGCTGTTACTGTTTCCTGGTGCTCATCAGTGGGTTATGGTTCTATAGAACACAAGGGAGACAGCTTTTGCCCTCAGAAAGTTGCCTTTGGGTAAGGCCAAGAGGTATTTAGAGGATGTTATGGCCCACAAGCAAGCCATACCGTTCCGACGCTTTTGTGGTGGTGTTGGTCGAACTGCTCAGGCAAAGAACCGACATTCTAACGGACAAGGTCGCTGGCCTGTAAAATCTGCCAAGTTCATCCTAGATTTGCTGAAGAATGCAGAGAGTAATGCCGAGGTATGCCTAGTCCCTTTTTTTTGAGTATCCGTCAACTGTTCTCTTTTCAGGTCTAACAATTTGCTGTGAATTTCTCAGGTCAAGGGTTTGGACATAGATGCCCTCTATATTTCTCACATCCAAGTAAACCAGGCTCAGAAACAAAGGCGTCGTACTTACCGTGCACATGGAAGAATCAATCGTACGTATTAAAACCATGCACTTATTGTTGTATATAGATTATTCCATGTAGTTCCCATGTGTTAATTGGAATCTGTTCTCATTTTCCCAGCTTACATGTCTTCTCCTTGCCACATTGAATTCATTTTGTCCGAGAAGGAAGAGCCTGTCAAGAAAGAGGTAACTATTTTTGAACTTTTATACGAACATTCATTTTTCTTGAAGTATCCATATCCGACCTATCAATACGTTTGTTTTCAGCCTGAGACTCAATTGGCAGCTAGCAAATCCACGAAGTCCCAAGCCTAGGTGATTCCTATTGAGCAATGCTATGAAGGAATGGTTTCTCACTTTTGTTTTTCCTTATATTTTGAAGTGGCTTTGAATTTTTGCAACATAGAATGGGTTTATTTTCTTTTGGTCTTCGAATCATGTTTAGTTTAATGTTATCTGAGATTATTATTTTTAATACGAAATCATTAATTATCAAGTTAATTAAATAAACACCCAACTAATTATATATGCTCATTAATCAATGAAAAATGAAAAAAAAAGGTTTAAGGTATCTTTTTTCCTTAAAAAGATCTAAGTCAGGTAATCTTAAATAAAGAATATTGTAGGAATATTTGAAAAAATATTTGAAATAAAATTGAAAAAGATGCAACATTAACTCCGAGATCTGAATTAAAAATTGTATTATGGAGTTAAGAATTTTTTTGGATAATTCGATAATAAAAATTAAAATGTTGGTATTTTAATATATTCATATGGTATATAAATATTTATATAAAACATTTTTAATATAAAAAACAATTATTTATTTAGGAATTAAATAACTATTTAACTTAATTAATTGATAGTACAACATTACTTTTTTTTTATCTCATAATTAATCTAAATTAAATAAAAATGTGATCTAAAAAATTCTTCACCCACAGACCACAGTGGCTGGCGAACAATTATAGCAGTAGTCAACAATGGTTAACTCGTTAGAAGCAAATGCAAGTTCTTTATTTATTTCTCAAAGAGCATTAAAAAATTCATAATCATTAATAAATCTTGCAAACTTGTCATGATATCTCACCTTTTATTCCTTGTTTATAGACTCTACTCAAACCTTAACGTGCCTTAGCTGCCGATATTGCTTGCTTATGTGTTTTGATATATCCAAGTTTCCTCTTAACCTGCACTGGGTATCAGCAGTGCCTAAACGGCAAGTTATCATCTCCTTTTGTCTTCTATCTTTCGTTGCTTTTTGATATTGTAAATCTGAAATGGTGAAATAAATGAAACCCCATCAAGGTAGCATTGCAGGAAATCAAAAGCATATTAAAATAACAATGTTAAACTCTGTAAAAACCAAATTCTATAAGGTCTTGCCATCATCTTGTCCCTGTCAACCTCTTAGCTTAGCTACCCCATTTCCCATATATGTATATATACAAGTATAAAACCGAGCTTAATCTGAGAATTCTAAGACTCGGGCATTAACTGTACAGTATGGATTGCAAAAGGATAGATGTAGTAGACGGGACGAGAAGTAGGAGCTTTCGCTACGAAGACTACGGTAATAGAAGAGCCTTTTTGCGGAGCTATCCTCTTCAATGGGGTGAGGATGAATGTAACACCCTCAGACCGATACGGGTGACTTGATCCGATCCAACGTGTCACATTAAAGCTACTAGAGCGACCCACAATAAAAAGAACAAAAAAATTAAAGGTTTTATTAAAACATATAAAGTTACAAGTGTAGAAATCTTTCAAATCGTAAAACATAATTCGTTCATACATCCCATCATAAAAGTTTCAGACTCAATATAAAAATCAAAATGTGACCTACATGCCCCCTAATTACACTTGTACCATACTCTATAAGCAAAGCCGAAAGAACTCTCATTACTTAAGTCGATAGCTACATTAGATCGATCTTTTAACCTGAAATGGTGAATAAAAGAGTGAGCTTTGGGAAGCTCAGTAATACAGAACTGCCAGGTGATGCTGAATAAACATCTACAGGTTTTCATGATGAGCTGATGTTCTACTGATATTTCTTCAAGTAAAATACAGGAAGCTTACAGTTCAGAGGACCAGGTTTAGGAGATCAGAATAGGGTGTTTAGTGTGTTCCCACAAATCCAGAATAAATAAAATCATAGATTAAAAATAATAGTATTTTATTTCAGTAAAACAAATTTTTAAAATCATTGTAATACTCTACTCGAACACTCCATATGCAATCTCTCAAAACTGCATCCATAAAGACTTACTCTAAGCACACAACAAAGGAGCCACCATAAGGGAGTACCTTGGGGCTTATAGGCCTACCCAAGGATCACCTTAAGTCCGTAAGGAATTACCAGCTTGATCAGAACTGAACCTCCGTACTCCAGACTCCTACCCATACAGTATCCAGTAGAAATCAAATTAAGCAGTAAACTATAATATCAAAATTATGATCCAATAAAAAAATTGTAAAAATGACAATGTAGTTATTTAAATCACATAAATGCCCTCCACCCGGACACCATATTCAATTCCCAAGAACTGAATCCATAAGGACTTACTCTAGGCCCAATGGACCTAGGAGCCAACCTAAGAGAATGCCTTGCGGCCTGAGAGCCTACCCAAGATCACCTTAGGTCCGTAAGAAATTACCAGCTTGATCAAAGCTGAACCTCCATACTCCATAATCCTACTCAGACAGTATCCCAATAATCGGTTCATATCATAAACAGTAAATTCCATGATCTATAAATCAGGCATAATTATATTTTCCAGTGGAAACAAGTAACCAAAGAGCATATATCATGTAGCCATAGTTTACAAACAGTAAATCAATAATTCAGAATTTCGAACAGTTAAAAGACTCAGTAAATCAATAATTTCGGTAAATCACATTCCAGGATAGATAAAACAATCATATAGTACATAAGGAACACGCTAGAAAATTCAGTTATATAAAATTTAGTAATTCAGTTGCATAAAATTCAGTTTTTTGGTCCCTAATTAAATTAAATGTATTTTATATAAAATTTGGGGTGTGACAATGAAGATGAAGAACAAACAGTGACAGCATCCAAAGGAGATCGTACCAGAAAGAAGCCTATGAAGAAGATGATGCTATCTGTCTATCATTGTAGTAGTGAAAAGGTCGTGATTTTGAGGAGATTCAAGGATAAGCTTACCGTTTATGTCGTTGCTTGTCTCCCGATCCGCTTTAAGTCGTCTCTGTTGCACTAATTTCAGTTTGATTCTTCTGTGTTTATCATCTTTATTCTAAATTCCGGATTTCGCTATCATGCATGGTATAAGTATCCTATAAACCTTGTGTTTAACTCAATTAGTTCATATATCCATTCTAAAGTTCAAATCTTTCCATCTGCAATCATTTTCTCTATTCTCAAACTACAGCCTCTTTTATACCAAACTAAAACCTATGCATCCTCCACACGAAAGCTGTTATTTTAAATAGAAACAAACTGAAATTACAATCAGCAATGGAATGGGTTTCAGTAAGACAGTTGGCACATGAAGAAAAGGAAGACAAGTCGGTTTGACAAAATAAACGAAAGGAAACGGATTACGCAATTGCATTAGTCCATTCACCATAAGCTTTAGGTACACCACAGGTAATGTTAGAAGACAATGAGAACATAAAAACAATCAATAAACAACAATCAGAAAAAAGAATGCTCAGGAACCTTTGAAATAAGTTTTCAAATAGTTTTTCCAAAAGTGTTAACAAAACTCTTTCCATCATTCAAACATTTTGAACATGCTAAATTTCAACAAGAGGCACATTTGCTCACATGACAAAGACTGTATCCGTCTTCTGAACAGTCACACGGTGTGCTCCTTGTTCAGAAAATATTATTGAGACGCCCATTGTGAAGCAACCAACGGCCACCCAGGGACTTAAGCGTTCACCTGATTCAAGAAATATACAAATTAGTCCCACAGATTGTAATGCATTACTAATAAAAGGAACACTTGTTATGCAACTCTACTAATAGTGGTCAGGAAATAAATAGATATATTTGTTTTATGGGGAAAAAAAACTTGTGAGGTATAAACGAGATATTTGGCCAAACATTTACATTAACATGCCCTATTAGATAAATAGCACAAGAAACAACTTATATCATTATGTGATTTCCTGCAAACAAAATCTCATATCAAGTTTATAACAATCATTGTTCATTCAACACCGATTGAAGCAGTGAACTCAAAAGTCAATTGCATTTTAGTTGGTATAAACAACATATGGAAATAGATTTAGTTGCTTCTAAACTCCAATTATGGAAATAATGATGGAACATCAAACTCAGATAATTATTCTTATGGAACAATAACCGATCTAAAACCCCATTTCAACACATTCCAATTCTAACTCATAACTTTATGAGATTTTAAATCCAAAATAAAGAACAACTTCTATATGCATAGGTCTAAACTTGTGTCATTCATTTTTAGTCTCATTTCCAGCATCATTTCAGATTCACATTATATGTCCAAAGACGATTCACAAGGGGGATAATGTAGGCATGACTATTCCAACTTTTCAATGAGATTAGAAAGAAATAAATCAAGCAATTCAACAAGACCTACCTATTCTGGCCGCCTTCCAAAAGAAACCACGGAACCTGTCATACAAACATATTAAACCGTATTAGCTCCAATTCTTACTTCCTAAAAATGGATTGTGATGCCAAAGTTGAACCTATAGTTGCTAGACATATAAACAATATTAGCATAACCAATATGGATACTAAAGAGAAAAGACAAAGAGGACCAAGATTAACTGGAGTCATGCAACTTTAATTTATCTTAATAGATAAAAAAAATAAAGAAGTTGAGTTATCCAAGGAGATCACAAGATCTATTAAAAAAAAACTAAAAGTTTCTCATGTTAGGATTGAGAATTCTACTTCCAACTTCACCAATGCTAAGTTACAACTATATCATTGTGACCATATTTGTTGCCTTGCCAGTTGCCCCCAAAACAGTCAATTTAATTTGCAAAATTACATCAAAAGCAAGACATAAGACAAAGTAAACTAGAATGCTCAAAGTTGAGAGAAGGAAAAAATACGAAACAGTCTAGTTGATCATCTGTTTTCCCTAATATTTCTCTATTGCATATGGGAATCAGGGTTTTATTGTTGTTGTATCTTTAAAAAGTAGATAAAATATCAGTTTGATCCTTAAAAATTAGATGAAATATTAATATTTTATTAGAAATGAAGGAAGCTGGATAAAAGGCTTTACGACAAATATTGGAAAAGCTTCAAGTGCTACGGCAGAAATCTGGGGAATCAGACAAGGAATGATCCTATCAAAATCGTTGGGGGCGAGAAACCATATAAATATAAGGGTAAAGTATAGTAATGGTCACTGAACTTTTCTAAAGCTTTCATTTAGGTCCAACTTAAAAACTTGCAATACAGTCCCCCAACATTTAGTCCATTTGCAATATGATCCCCCAACATTTAGTTTGTTTGCAATATGGTTCCTGACCGTTTGACGTCGTTACACTACCGTTAGTACGTTTGCAATATGGTCACTAAACTTTTCAGGCACTTGCATTTAGGTCCCTAACTTTTAAAACTTGCAACACAGTCCTAAATTTCATTCTAAACCCTAAATTCCTTTTCAATCTCGAATTTCATTTTTCGCTTCTCTCTTCTCATTTCCAGCGTAACTTTTCAGTCGGGGAATTATTTCACTTCTATTCTGATGGACTAAATATCTTTCATAAGGAGTACTAAAAGTTTTGATTAAGAAGAAAGAAAGAAAATTAAATGGTTTTGGTTCAAAACTAACATTGAATAACAAAAACCAAACGAGAGGTGAATGCACTGTTTGTGATTTCATTATATTTGATCATCTGTTGGAAAATCTTTAAGCACAAGAATTAAACGAAGAAATTATTATGTCATTTATAAAAAAAAAATTACAGCTTTGTTGGTGACTTTCAACAATGATTGTAACACCCTTAACTCATATCCGACCCGAATACAAGTCCAAGGTGTCACATTGACTTTTCAAACTTTGACTCTTATTGAAAATCCCGGGAATTTTTTTAAAACTTCCATTAAAACGAAATACTTTAATTTACATAAGACCATAAAATACAAAATCGATCAGAGTATTCGTAATTAACACTTATTACATGCCAACACTCTATACATAACCAAGTACATACTTTGTCAATTACTTCTGATCTGATCTCTTAGTAGTATTGCTGTCCGTGCTACTTCTATTTCCACTTTTCCTGATTCTTGGTACCTACGTGTAAATCACTTACACGCTAAGTCATAGACTTAGTGAGGCAATAAATGAATATGCAACAATAAACTTATGAATGTTCATACTTACAATTGGATCATGACATTTCAATATGCATGTATCTATCGCACGATAACATATAATGCACATACGAAACTTACCTTCTTGTATCACTTTCACTGTAAATCGGTATTTCAATTGCATAGCCCATGTATATTATTGAGATTAGAGGTATGTGAGTGCATTGAGGTTGTGCACTAATGCTGTCACCACAGCTCGTATTTATTCCCTCATGGGGCACCGAACCTTAGTTCAGTATTCGTCCCGTAGGACTCCTACATCCCGAAGGACTACGTCCCGAAGGACTATTATAGGTGTAATTGGCATGCCAAGAGTCGAGGGTATAATAGTCCTTCGGGATGTAGGAGTCCTACGGGACGAATACTGAACTAAGGTTCGGTGCCCCATGAGGGAATAGATACGAGCTGTGGTGACAGTATTAGTATACAACCTCAATGCACTCACATACCTCTAATCTCAATAATATACATGGGCTATGCAATTGAAATACCGATTTACAGTGAAAGTGATACAAGAAGGTAAGTTTCGTATGTGCATTATATGTTATCGTGCGATAGATACATGCATATTGAAATGTCATGATCCAATTGTAAGTATGAACATTCATAAGTTTATTGTTGCGTATTCATTTATTGCCTCACTAAGTCTATGACTTAGCGTGTAAGTGATTTATACGTAGGTACCAAGAATCAGGAAAAGTGGAAATAGAAGTAGCACGGACATCAATACTACTAAGAGATCAGATCAGAAGTAATTGACAAAGTATGTACTTGGTTATGTATAGAGTATTGGCATGTAATAAGTATTAATTACGAATACTCTGATCGATTTTGTATTTTATGGTTTTATGTAAATTAATGTGTTTTGTTTTAATGAAAGTTTTAAAAAAATTCTCGGGATTTTCAATAAGAGTCAAAGTTTGAAAAGTCAATGTGACACATTGGACTTGTATTCGGGTCGGATATGAGTTAAGGGTGTTACATTTAATGGTATCAGAGCTACGCTTTAGTCGATTCTCGGCATAAACCGAAGTCTAGAGTATCTTATAAGGTATACATGCCAACAAAATAGTGAAAACTTCTGATCTGATGGAATAGTAAGTATGATGTTTTGCTAATAGAACTATATGGTTGTATTTTTATAGATGTCCGGATAAAGTAGATCTAGAAATGAAGCGGGAGACGATAGACCCGCTGAAAGCAGTAATTCACCTGCCCTGGCCAGGTAGAGTGAAGAACAGACATCCTCTGGAATGCCTGTCAATGATCAAGATATATTCTTTAGAACGTTAGACGCGGTATTGACGCGTTTCCAACCTCCTGTTACTTCAACTCCAAAAATGAATGTTGCGAAAGAGTTGAAGAGATTAGGAGCTCCAGAGTTTAAAGGGGAAGCCAATGAAGGTCATGTTATTGCGGACCTTTGGCTTAATGACATGAAAGTCATGCTTACGGGACTTCATTGTTCCGATGCTGAGAAGTTGGATGGGATAATTTCATTATTGAGAGGACAAGCAAGGATCTGGTGGACTAATGTTACATTGAGGATATCTAATGCCCAAGTAACTTGGTCATTATTTTTAGAAGAATTCAAGCATAAGTATATTGGAGATCAATTTGTTCATCAAATGAAGCAAGAGTTCATGAATTTGAAGCAATGGAATCACACTGTATATGAGTACGAGTGTGAATTCAATAAATTGAGCCGCTTTGCTGCCGAGCTAGTTCCTACTGAAAAGGATGCTTGTGAGTGGTTCGTAGAGGGTTTACGTCCTCGGTTAAAGGAAATGTTGATTGTCTTGAATTTATCATCATTTCAAGAAGTAGTTAACCATGCCAAGGCTCTGGAAAGAGCTCAGAACGAGAGATTTGAAAATTTGAGAGCTCAGACAGTCAAAAGATCGGGTGCTTCTTCGAGTTCCACACCATAAAAAACGGGTAAAGATGCTAGTGTTCGACCCCAGGTTAGATCAGAATCAGTGGCATCCTCCGCTAAAGGATCAAATCAAGTGAGGGGTAGACAAACTCAGTCAGTGGGATCTGGAGTTGGGAGAACTAATCAGAGTCAAGCCAGACAATGCCCATATTGTGGAAAGAATCATTCAGGGATATGCCGGATGATTTTTGGAGTCTGCTTTAGATGTGAGGACGTTGGGCATTTTGTTCGGGATTGTCCAATGTTAACCAGTGAATCTGTACAGCCAGAGAAGTCTGTTTCTGTAGCCCAGAGGGGAAGAGGTAGAGGCAGAGGAAGAGGTCAGTCAGAGTCCTCTGCTCAACAGGAGATACACTCCACTGCTCGAGTGTACAATCTCAAGACAAATGAGGATTGTGATGACCCATATATTATAACAGGTACCTTTCTATTGTTTGACAAAGGTGTTATTGTATTGATTGATCTGGGATCTACATATTCATATATTACTAGTACGTTAGTAAGAGAATTGAACATTCCTTTAGAAACTACTAGTAATGAAGTAATAATGACGAATCCACTAGGGCACAGTGCTCAGGTAAATATGGTGAGCCGAGGGTGTCCCATATGGATTCAGGGAATTGAATTTCCTGTTAATCTGATGGAATTACCTTTTGACGAGTTCGAAGTGATACTGAGGATGGATTGGTTATATCGTTATTACGCTGATGTCGATTGTAGATTGAAAAGAATGACATTGAGAAGTTCTGAAGGAATAGAAGTTATTGTATTTAGTGAAAGATGGAATCCATTAGCAAGTGTGATTTCAGTGATGACTGCAAAGAAGTTACTGCTACAGGGATATCAAGGGTTTATTGCTAATGTATTGGATGTTAGAACCAAGGAGAAAGGGATTGAAGAGATTCCTATAGTCAGAGAGTTTCTCGATGTATTTCCTGCAGAGTTGCCAGGTTTACCTCCTGACAGAGAGGTAGAATTCCAGATTGAGATAATACCAGGAACAACGCCCATTGCAATGGCACCATACAGAATGGCTCCAAAGGAATTACAAGAATTAAATATTCAATTAAAGGAGTTATTGGACAAAGGGTTTATTAGACCAAGTGTATCACCTTGGGGAGCTCCAGTTCTATTTGTTAAGAAGAAAGATGGATCAATGCGTCTTTGTATCGATTACAGACAACTCAATAAAGTGACCATCAAGAACAAGTATCCACTTCCCTGAATCGACGATTTATTTGATCAATTAAAGGAAGCTTCAGTGTTCTCAAAAATTGATCTACGTTTGGGTTATCATCAATTAAAGATTCAAGAAAAAGATATTTCGAAAACGGCGTTTAGAATAAGATATGGTCATTATGAATTTATCGTGATGCCGTTTGGAGTTATGAATGCACCAGCTGCTTTTATGGATTTAATGAACAGAATTTTCCAACCGTATTTGGATCAATTTGCTGTGGTGTTTATTGATGATATTTTAATATATTCAAAGTCAGAAGAAGAGCATAGTTCACACTTACATATTGTTTTACAGATTTTACGAGACAAGAAGCTTTATGCTAAATTCTCTAAATGTGAATTCTGGTTGAATGAAGTGGCATTCCTTGGACATGTAATTTCTGCAGAAGGAGTTCAAGTGGATCCCCAAAAGATTAAAGCTATTATGGAGTGGAAAGTTCCAAAGAATGTATCGGAAGTTAGAAGTTTTCTGGGGTTAGCTGGTTATTATCGAAGGTTTGTTAAAAACTTTTCGATTATAGCATTACCCATGACTAAACTGTTGAAAAAGGAAGTAAAATTTGTTTGGACTCAAGAATGTCAAGAGAGTTTTGAAAAGTTAAAGAAGATTCTTACAGAAGCTCTAGTGTTAGTTCTACCCGAGTCTGGAAAGAACTTTATAGTGTATAGTGATGCGTCTCATAGTGGTTTGGGATGTGTATTAATGCAAGAAGGCAAAGTGGTAGCCTATGCTTCGAGACAACTAAAACCGCACGAGAAAAATTATCCAACACACGACCTAGAGATGGCGTCAGTAGTGTTTGCTTTAAAGATCTGGCGTCACTACTTGTATGGTGAAAAGTGCTACTTGTATACGGATCATAAGAGCTTAAAATACTTGATGACTCAGAAAGAGTCGAATTTAAGACAAAGAAGATGGGTGGAATTTCTCAAGGATTATGATATGGTGATTGATTTCCATCCTGGAAAGGCAAATGTGGTAGCTGATGCCTTGAGTCGAAAGACGTTTGCAGCTTTGCGAACTCTTGATGCTAGATTATCGTTAAGAGAAGATGGTGCAATTTGTGCAGAATTGACAATCAAGCCCGTTTGGCTAAATCGAATTAAAGAATTGCAAGTTAAAGATGAAAAGTGTTTAAAGATGATACAACAGATAAAGAATGGAGAGGGTACAGATTATGAGATTAAGTCTGATGAGAACTTGTATTATCAAGAAAGATTAGTAATTCTGGATGATGATGAATTAAAGAATGATTTGTTAACGGAAGCTCATTGTAGTCCATTGACAATGCATCCGGGAGGGAACAAAATGTATATGGATCTTAAGAGTCGATATTGGTGGCCGGGAATGAAGAAAGACATTTCAAAATTTGTATCAAAGTGTTTGACCTGTCAACAAGTCAAAGCTGAACATCAAGTTCCGTCAGGATTGTTACAACCAATTTCAATTCCTCAATGGAAATGGGAAAACATGACGATGTATTTTGTGACGGGTTTGCCTTTAACTCTGAACAAAAAGGATTCAATCTGGGTAATCGTGGATAGATTGACTAAGTCAGCCCATTTTATTCCAGTACGAACTGATTTCTCCATGGATAGGTATGCTGAATTGTATATTAGAGAGATTAAACGGTTGCATGGTGTACCTATTTCCATAGTTTTTGATCGGGATCCTAGATTCACATCACGGTTTTGGAAGTCAATACATAGAGCATT